CCCAACCCCCCCTGCTCTGTGCCAAGGGCTAATCCCCCTAATGCAGCCTCCAGTCACTGAGTGCTGTCAAAGACTGTGGCTATTGGCCAACACCAATGGAGAATGTCTAATTTGGTGATGAGGGTGAGCACGGCTGCAGGGAGGCACAAGATACAGAGCAAGGAGGCCTGAGACAGCAGTGGGCATCTTTAGAACATGGTCCCTGTAATGTTACCAATCCTCACCCCACACAGGATCAGACCATTGTAGCTGGATCTAAGCTTTTCAGGGGCTATAGCTGTTGATCCCTAGTCTAGAGAAAATGAAGTACTGGTCCCAAGACACAATGGCGTCCATCATACAACCAACCATCATGCCGCCACAATCATCAGCACAGGGATCAAGCTGCCCTGTTACCCATAAAACTCTTATTTTTTACTCTGGGAGGACTGCTTCTGACAGTGGTGAATACACTTCTACTGCTTTTATTGTTTCTGTTTCTTAAAAGACAGAAGCTCTTGTTTGGAAGAACAATCAGCTTGACCTCTCATTTTGATCTTGAGACTTGCACCTTTGCCTCTCTTCTTTCATTTTTTTAAACCTTTGTACTCAAGTCCTTATCTGGTGGTCACTCCCTCATCAAGAGAAAAGCCTTCTGCCGCTTTAGGGACAGCTCCCAAAAGTCTGGAGCGCTTGTTGACCCTGTGACCTGAGCCACCAATCCCATTTTCATTTAAATGATCCTTTTATACCCCTTGCCCTCAATAGACATAATTTCTGACTTCTACAGTCCTGACCAGTGACTACAGCTGCTGAGTGGGCTTCTCATTCTGCCATGGACTATGCTCACCAATCCCAACCACCACCTAGAATGGCATATTGCCGGTCATTCCTTCTGAAGGATCTGTAAAGAGTTTTCCTGTTGGCTAGTTGTTGTAACTACTGGTTTTCCTTTCATCTGAGTCACATGGATTTGCTGTGCACTGTGTCTGAACAGTTCTCACCCTCTGGATTCTTTACAAAACGTTTCTCATTTGTGGAGTGCAAGTAGTTACATAAGTCAAATGGGACTGAGCCTTGCTGCTCCTGCACAGTGTTTTGTGCTTGTGTAAGTGATCAAGCATGTGTCCACAGCTGGGTTGTTAAATGAAACCTGATATTCTTCTTTAAAAAACACACATACACAACACCAGAACCTGGGGCTTTACTGAAAATAGTCAGACATCATGAGACTTACGCTATCACAAGCAATGACAACACTCTTGTAAATGTCAGCAGCCATTGATTTGGTCCTATGGGTCTTAAATCTAGAGAACAAAAAATGACAACACAAATAGCATCATACTTTCCGGTGGGAACAAAGGGCTGAAAGTTATCTAAACAAAAGTTTGGTGCAACTGATAGTTGCCCAGGTCATTGCAAAAACTTAATCTTAACTACTCCAGCAAGTCATACCCAGTGCTCTTGTGCCTGCATCAGTAAGAAATAGAATTCTGCAAAACTGTTCAGACAGCTGTAATCTGGCACTTTTCACCAGCTCTAGAGAAGCAGGAAAGAAATGTGAAACAAGACAGGCAGCACTGCTGGAATCTTGGCCATCATTTAAAATTGACTTTCCTATCATCCTTTTCTATTAATCTTACTGCTTCCCATCTACAAGAGGAAAAGGGAGACAGCACATTAAAATAGCAAGTGATAATTAGCAAAATACAAGGTCATGTCCAGACACTTTCAGGAACTTTTTTTAAATGTCTCTGCTGCTTATTGTGACACAGTTTTGGTTCCCATAATCAAAGCTCAGCAGAGTCTAATGACAAACCTAACAGCATTACAAACAATGGATGACTAAAGAAACATCCCTAGAGAGTCCCATTTATCTGCAGAGATGACAATACTTATAATCGTGAAGTGCTGCTGAGCTACATTTCCTGGAAGGCCACTACAAGTTAAAAGACAACTGGGATGCTGCTTTTTTTTTGGCCAATAAAATATTGCTTACAAAATTAGGACTAGAGGACAAACTGAATCAAGACTAATGTGTGCACGGCAGAGAGAAAGAGAGAGAGAGAGAGAGAGAGAGAGAGAGGGTACTGGTTTGTTTCAAAGTGGTCGCTTAACTAGAAGCATAGTCCCCTGGACTTCAGTAGGATCTGAACATATGCAAACTATGGTGGCAATCAGTGACACCCCCTCTACTTCAGCTGCTGCTACTGTTTTCCACGCTGCCGACTGTCCTCAGTGAGGGGAACTGGCAGAAATTGGCAGTGAGGGAAGCAATGGCAGTGACTGAAGAAGCGGGGTGCAAGAATGCTTGACTACTACAGCAGGATGTACTCCCACAAGGTCTGTGAAATGTCGATTTAAGCACAGGCCCACGTGTTTTACTGAACCATCCCTCCAAGTGTATAAAGCAAAGCCAGCAGTTCCCAAAACAAAAGATAGGGACCACTGGTTGTCCATAACTTTACTGGGCCACTTTTATGGTAAGGCTGCATAGGAGTCTGGGAGAAATTGTGATTTCACAAGGGTCTCACAGTCCAAAGAATCTGGCAACCCCATGGCATTCAGGGGATTTTGGACCAGGCACCAAAGGACAGTGAGATTCTGAAGTGCCCTACACTTTGGTTCACTCATCTCCCCCTAAGTTTTTCTGAGAAAGGTTAATAGAAGGATGTGAACTCATTAGTGAGACTTCATTCCTTTTTACTCATCACCCACAAAGCACATGATCAGTGAGCTCAGAATCTTCAAACGACTGAACGAAGCGCATTCCAGAATGCAGAGTCTTTTGGTTATTTATCTATTTTAAATTGTGGGTTTGCACCATGTCCTTCACTTCTTATTGAGCCAACATTCTTGCTGGCCATCCTTGGGATCCACACAGTCAGGAAGCTGTGATGTCATTTTGAACTTGTGACTAAGCAAAACAGCTAGCACTTTGTGCAACTGGAAGGCACTTGTGGACCACAGTGATGGGCATGGTGTCAGAATCCAAATCTAACTGACCCCCAGTGCAGGGCTGTGGACAGACGTTATATTTGTAGTGCTATGAAAGTCAAGGGGACAGATGTGTATGTCCTCAGGTGTGTTACAAAAATGCCAGATGCTACAGAAACATTCTTGGATGAAGCAGGGACTTCTCTGCAGCACTATGTTTTATAATGCCACACAACACCTGTCCAGTGCACCACAGCACTATAGGGAGTCTCTCAGTCTCCCAGAATCCCACATTGCTCCCCTCCCCCCCGGAAAGCAGGGGGACTGGAGAGTGTGTGGAGAGTTACAGAGTGCATCTCTGGGGAAGCACAGCCTGCATGCTCTTCTGCCTGCCCCGTTGCACCCAGGACAGGGATATCTTTAAGTATAAGCTTGTTCATAGTGAGCATTGCTGCAGCCTGGCCAGCACTGGGCTGTCAATGAGCTTTGGTTCTGTGCAGTCCTGGCCCTGAGCTCACTAACAGCCTGGTTGTGGGGGGCTGCAGCTGGACTCTCCAAGCTCAGCAGGGGGCTGCAGGCTGTCAGAAATCAGGCTCACTGATGGGCTCAAATACCCTGGTGGGGAGCAGCAGGGCCAAGCATCCCCCTATTGCCCCCCTGGCTGGTGGTCACACTGTCAAATGCTTTCATGGTGACACCGCAGCACTTCAGTTTCGGGGCTCTAAATGTTGACCCCCTTTGTACTAGTATATTCTGGTATACTAAAACACATCTCTTTATGGTCTAGGTAAGCAACCAGCTGAGGGTGCTTACCTGAGCTTTCTAAGCCCTTCTTTAGATGAAAGGGTTGGAAACATGCAAGAAGAGGTTCTTATGTAAAATGCTTGTTCTTCCCTGGAAGTATCTAAAGCAGGGCTATCCAGCTTCCCCACAGCTGGGGGCTGCACACTACATCAGCTGTATGTTGTTGGGGGAGGTCCCCGGGATCCTCCTTCTCTGCTGTGCAGGCTGTGCTGGCAGTGTGTGCCACCCCCAGGATCTGCCCCTGCCCTATGGACTGCACAGGCAGTGAACAGCCCCCTGCTCCCTGCCATGTGGGCAGTACCCGCCACACACGGTACCCCACCAGGCTGCTCTCTGCAGGTCCTCCCCTGCTGTGTGACTGAGAAGGCAGTTGCAGGGGCCCATAGGCCACCAGTTGGACAGCCCTGATCTAAAGGACATACTGGTATAACAGGTGGGCACAAGACAGCTAGGACCCAGCAGCTTATAGAAATAAAAATAACTGAAGAAACAGACGCAAAAAGGAAAGATCTGTGCCCTGTGGTATGTTGCACTCCACTTCTCTGTAGCCAGCTCTCCCTTGCCTTTTCATTAACTCCTAACACTACATAAGTTTGAGTAAAGCACCCATTCATTACACTTGCCTTCCAACCCTATCCTTCTTAGGCTCGAGTCTAACCTAACCATTGCTTACGATAGCATGTCACGATGAAAAGTCTCCCTATGATGTCCAGGTACCTGATTATCACATCTGCATATTGCCACATTGTATTCAGGCAGACCTCAAAATTATTAATAAAACCTGTTCCAACTCCTGCCACCCATAGTGGTGTGTGTTAAAGATACCATATTTTGAGCAACTGTTACATTTAATCAGAGAAGCCAAGAAGCTGATCAGACCCAGTGATCTTGAACATAAAGGTTCTGAGAAAAAAATACATTACCCAAGAAATTATAGAGAATGTCAAGATTTACATGCTTTCAACAGGGAGTTCTTTATTTCCCCTCCTAATTCCAAGGGTGAAGAGGTTATCAGCAGTGTAGGGGGATGCCCTAGGAGCAAGAAGCAACAGAGAGGTTTTAACAAGTGGCTAACTAGGGCTTAAGAAGCCATATTGTGCATTCTAATGCTACTTTTGTTTCATGGACACCTGCCTCTCTTTTAACAATTTAATTGACCACATCTCCCTTCTTTCACCGTCACTCAATCATACAAAATTCCTGTGGCAACTGCTCACACAGGAAGATAATCTCTTAATGCCATTTAGCAGCTGGAAGTGATCAGAAGGAAGATCTAGCACCATGTGATCAATCAGCACTCAGCAGAAGTCAGAGAAATTGTGGTCTAGCAGACTGTTGCTAGTTCAAGGTTTAAAAGGTGAGCAGATTATTTTCTCTTTCCCAGCTTCTCATCCACATGCACACTTCCATGCTTGGAGGCAGTTGGACAGAATCATGGCAGTATAAAGGCATTTGTAGATTGTGTAATGCCTGCAAGCAGCTACAGATGCTCTCTATGCAATCAAGCATGTTGCCCAAAGTTGGCACTGTTTGCAAACAGGAGGATCTTCTGGCAGAAGAGATGTCACTCTCCACATTCTGCAGGCTGTTCTCCTAAATGCCTGTTTAGCTGGCATCCATGTCATGCTAAAACTGGCATTACACCCTAGTGGGCACTGTGCCACTCTAACAGATGGGCATCAGTGCAGACATTCAAGAGAAAACCGTGTGCATCAAATTGTGAGCACATTACGGATAGGATTTATGTTTAGGAATGTTAGAACAGCAGTACTTCAGCACCCAGGGTGAGGAGCGTGTGCGCCTTCGTATACCCAGGCCTCAAACAGGATTCATTTTGGAATCCATCACCCAAAAGTCAGCTTTCAGTGCCATGGCAGGATGGGTTGGGGGGGAGGGCACGGGGAAGCAGGATTAGCGTTCTTTGTAGAAGGAGAAGCATTATAATAAAGTCTCTGCCTCTAGGGTCTCTTTGAGGGAGGGTTGTGGCAAAATTACTTTCCGAAGCCCAGCTCTGGCTGAAGACCCTGGCCAGTTTCAGGGCTCTGATCCTTGATCTCTTTCCAGTTTGGCTGTAGAGAACATTTAGGAATCATTTCTGCTTCAACAGCACACTTCAAGTGTTCTAGCACACCATAATGCTGTTTATTACATACTCTGCATTAGCCAGTTTAATGATTACAGCTATAGCTGTAAAAAGTTAAAAGTGACCTCAAAATAATGCTAGGGACATGCTGTCATGATAAGAATTTTATCTGAAATAAAAGAGAGTCCTTACTGCTCTTACTAAAAGTGCTAGCAGCAGCAGTTTATTCAGGATGAGTTTTAAGGCTGGGAATTTTAAAGGTACCTGAGAGAGGACATGTCTATATTCCACTGAATTTCAATTGGTGTGAGGTGCCTTAGGTTCCTTTGAAAATGTCAACCTACAGGCCTTGCTTGCTTTCCCCATTTATACTGTCTTGTTCATTCTGTCTTTCAGTTTGTGTTATGAATCAAACCTAGCCATTTCACTGTCTGCTTCCTGTCAGCTTGCTGTTCCCCAACATGTGGTGCTGCATCCACTTGCCAGTGCACTAATGGGAAGTCTGTATTAAAGAGTTACATTTCTGTTCAAACTTTAAACAGCTTCCATTTAAAGCTTTAACTAAAGCCAGGTCTGTGCTCAGATTTTGTACCAGTAACTGCCTTTGCTAGGGTGTAATATTTTAGTTGTGGTATGTATGTGTATACACACACACACACACACACACACCTCTCTGCTAGGTAGAAGCTATCACTTGCTATCATCACACCTTCATCTTGCTGTGCAATTATGCCCTGTGTCTATAAAACTACAGGCAGTCCTCAGACTTATGACACAATTGGTTCCTGAAAACCGCATCTTAAGTTGAAACGTTGTAACTCGGGTTCTCATAGGAACCAATGTTATAAATGGTGGATTGGTTCCTGAACCAAGGCCCAATACCCTATTTTCACTAAAAATACCCCAGAATTTTGTATTCGATCAATTATAGATGAGCAATATAGCTACATTAATATTGTAAATAGCAATCATATTGATTTGGAAGGACTTATTTGAGGTGACTTTGCTGGACTTTTTGAAAGGCTTTTGGTTGGACTTTTTGAAGGGTTCTTGGCTGGAGTCTTCTCAGGAGTCTTGGCTGCAGGTTTTTCTGGAGTCTTGTCTGCTTTCTTAAAGAAAGTGTCCAAGGAAGTTTGGACAGATGTTCTCCAGGGAGATGAGTGACGCAGCGAACTTGTTCACTGGTGTGGCATTGCATCAGATCAAGCGTTGTAAAGTTGAAACAGGGTGTCAATTTATAAATGTTGTAAGTGAAAAACATTGTAAATCGAAATGTTGTAAGTCAAGGACTGCCTGTACATACATAATACACACACATACACACAGATAGTGTGTGTGTGTAATTTTACAGGTATATGGCATGTCTGTACAGCAAGATAAAGGCATGAAGGCAAGTGCTAGCTTCTATCCACCAAAGGTAACAAAAGCATTGACAAGGCAGTAGTACAGGCTTTTGCATGTGCTGGCAAGTAGAACACAAGCCCTCTAGAGACACCTCATAAGCGCAAAAGTCTTTGTGGTTGCTCCTCATTGCTCTATTCAGACAGCTGGTGACCATTGCTTATCATATGACTTCATTTTGCTGTGCAGGCATACTCAGAGTTATGCCAACATTTTTGCCTTGTAGATGACCTGCTAGCAGAGAACTGGTAGGAGAATCAGGGCAGACACGATCTGAGTCCTTCCTTACTTTGCTTGTTTGTACATTTGATACAGATTTAAAACTGAATTGTCTTAGGGAACAGGGTGAAAGCCACACAGAGGGGGTGGAGGCAGGAATTTTTAAAAATAAATAAATAAATAAGCAAACAGACCACAGACCAAGACCCTAACTTATACCTCACTGTTTTAAATCAGACACCTGATTTTTGAGCTCCAGTGTTGTTGCTGTAAGGGATCGATCATCCATAAGTAGCTCATGGAGGAACCAAGCATGAGAACACTGGGACTATGTAACAAGTAGGCATCCCGGGGCCAGTCAAATCGTTGGCCCGCCCACTTGTCTCAGGGCTAACTGCCCACCTACCCCGCCTGCCACACCTTTGATGATACAATTGAAAGATGATAACAAGGTGGGAGGCTGTCCATTTACTTGCCAAGATGCCAAGAGCTTATATACACAGCTCTGACCTCCCCTATACCATGTCTTATGCCTCACAGATGGCATCCATGGCCTAACACCCAGCCTATAGTTTGTCTGGTCTAACACCTGACCATTCAATCAATCTGGGCTCACAGCCTTTCCCTGTTCCTTGGGCTCCTAGCCCCTACCTTTTCTCAGGCTCTAAGCCTGTCTTGGGACCTTCTTGGTCCTCTCACACCCCACACTCATCTTCAATCCCCCATATGTCCCACACTGAGCTTCTCAATATTCTCCAGTTCATCCCGTGTGCTGCACACTGGGCCTCAACAATCCCTTTATCCCCTTGCCTGAGGAGCCTCACATCTAGCTCCCTTGGCTTAGGGCCCCACCTCCCTGGAGTCTCACATTCAACTCCTTAAAGCTACTCAGTTCTTGCAGTGAGCCTGGGCGCTGCCTCAGGTCCCTTCCTGACCTGATCCCTGCCTCAGGACTCATTGTGAGCCTGGGCTCCTGCTTTATTCTTTGGGGTGTGCTCCCCTAGCCTTTCCCCTCCATGGGGGTCACCCGCAAGGCAGTGGGGGCTGAGGCTTTCTGGCACACCATACTCACCTTCACTAGGGAGGCACAGATGTGTAATTTCCTGGAGACTGCCCTGCCACTGGCAGTCCCACCACACCATCCAGCCCCAGCAGGGTGTAGTTTTAGGCCATGTCCCAGGACCAGGAACCTCCACCTTCCCAATAGCTCCTCCCCTGTACCTCCAAGATAGTATGAAAAGCAGCTCCAGCCGTGTGGTATTCTTCTCCCAGCTGCTGGCAGCAAACTGCTGGCTATACTGCTCAGGACCCTGTCCCCAATCAGGCAGTTGTGCCTGATTGGGAGCACAGTCAGCTGCAGACTGCTTACCTGTCTGCTCACACCCATGTGAGTAACAGAGCATACCTTGTGCTCAGTTATAGAATAGCATCTAAAACTGTATTTGGATGATCCTGGGAAGTGAGGGATCAGTGAATTGTCTTGTGTTTGCTTCAGTAGAATCCAGGCTTAAGGCGTGTGAAATAGACATATTCTGCTCCTACTAAATGCACACACAAAGCAGTAGCACCACCACTTATGAGAGATGGCTTGATGTTATGGGATAAAGAGTTAGAGAAGTACATCATGGGAAGTCTCACTTCAAGGGAAGTCATCAGGACTCATACACAGGCATCCAGTGCTGCTAGGTGTACATTTCCATAAAGCTTTGTATTTCCAGCTTTTAAAACCAAATTCCTTTCTACCATAGAACCAGCATATAGAGATGAAGAATTTATCCCAGCATTTGATTTTGGGCACTGTTTGGAAGTTGCTCCCAATGCAGTTTTAAGGTAAGAGTTGTCTCACCTTGAACTGTAGAGGCCCCAATACTGATTCCATAGGAATGCAAGTCTCTAATAATGTACTTGTGAAATGCTGTACGTGGAGGGAGAAGAGGCAATTAGTTTAGCCCCCCAAAGCACTTGATTTGATTACTTTAATGATGTCTTTATCTTGCAGAGCTTCTGCTGTTATCGATCACATATGAGAAATGTAGTGATTGCGGGAAGAGGTGAGGTGACTTGTCAAAGACAAAGTGGATCAACGGTAGAGACCATATTAGAAACAATCTCTACAGATCTCTTTATTGCAGAGCTCCAACTATTAGACAACACTCTT